TGTGCCAGGAGCTCACTGTGCCGGCAGAGCTCACTGTGCCMGGAGCTCACTGTGCCGGCAGAGCTCACTGTGCCGGCAGAGCTCACTGTGCCAGGAGCTCACTGTGCCAGGAGCTCACTGTGCCGGCAGAGCTCACTGTGCCAGGAGCTCACTGTGCCAGGATCTCACTGTGCCGCCAGAGCTCACTGTGCCAGAGCTCACAGTGCCAAAGCTCGCTGTGCCAGGAGCTCACTGTGCCGGCGGCTCCCGCTCGCCCTCAGCCATGGCGCGGCCCGGGGCGGGCAGCAGGCGCAGGGACCGGGCGCTGCTGGACATCCTGATGATGTGCGGGGCCTGCACCCACGTGCTGAGCAGCTGGAAGGCGACCAGCTCCAGCACTCGCCCGTCAAAGGCGGACAGCAAGTTCACGGGGGCCGCTTCCCTGAGGAACCGGGGAGACGCCACGGCCTCGGGGATGCTGGTGTTGCCCAGGAAGAAATCCATCAGYAGCTGCTGGCGCAGACAGTCCCTCAGGTACAGCACCAGGTCCTCCAGCCGCTCCACCAGGAACCGCTCATCCCAGGCCTCCAAGGGCCCCCGGAGCAACAGGGAGAAGAGAGCTGTYTTCAGAATGTAGGAGGAGAGCACCCAGCCCCACTGCGAGCACAAGGGCTCCTCCAGGCTCTGCCCGCGGAGGTCCCGCAGGCCCTTGAGGATCTGCAGGCACTTGAGGTGGCAAGAGGAGGCCGGAGCCTGTTCCTTGAGCCAGCCCAGCAGCCGCTGCTCCTGACGCGAGGCGTTGAGGCCCCACAGMGCCTCGGGGGCCGGGGAGGCTCGGGGGCCCTGGGGCGGCAGGGCTGTGAGGTAGAGCGCGTCGCCGAGCGGGATGGCCGGGATGAGGCGCACGGCCATGGAGATGTGGCAGCAGACATAGTCGGAGCAGGGCACGATGTGCAGCGTGGGCGGCTGCCCGGGGCAGTTGGAGAGGCTGACGCGGCAGCGCTCCTGTARCCGGTAGCGCACAGCGCCCAGGCACCGCTGCAGATGGCCCTGGAACCAGCGCAGCACCAGCCCGGAGGAGAGGTGGCTGCGGCCCTGCAGCTCCACGCAGAAGCCCTCGGCGAAGGGCCGGCAGCGCCGTGTCCAGCCGTCCCTCGCCCGCAGGCCGCAGAGGAAGGCGCCGCACGGTCCCGGCCCGTCGGCAGAGCGCGGCTGGGGCTCCAGGTGCGGCGGCAGGCGCAGGGGCACCAGGATGTCAAAGCAGTCGGGGCTGCGCACCTTGTGCTGCTCGTAGGCGCTGCCGATGCGCACGAAGTCCCCGCGCAGGCTGAGGGCCAGCGGGCCGGGCTGCAGCCCCTGCGCCTTGGCGGCGCTCACCAGCTCGGCCACCACCCGCCCCACGTGCGCCTTGCTGTGCCCCAGCACATGCGGCGACACCCGCAGCTGCCGCGCGTGGAACCGCTCCAGGGCTCCGCGCCGCGCCCCCGCCGCCCACCGCGCCCCGGCACGCCGGGAGCCGCCGCCCGCCGCCCCGCAGCACCGGGCGAGGAGGCAGCCGAGCAGC